TTGTACTTCATTTTGCGGGGCTCGCTGGGACTTAGTCTAGTTACAGGTCTAGAAGCAAAAATGGGTGGTGGGGATTTGCTCTGAGAACATTCAGCAAGGTCTCATAAGGCATCTACCTTAGGCGATGCCCCAGGCAATAACTCAGACAAAGGTTCTTCAGACACAGCTGGGTTAATCTCATCAGATGGGGATGGAGAAGCTAATGGTTTTACTGGGAAGAGTAGCTTGGCAAACAAAGATGGAGTAATCTCTTCAGATGGGAGTGAGAGGGCTGGTTCTATTGGCAAGAGTGACAGAATTTAGGAGCTCAGTGTCCCTAGCTTCCTGATTATCTGCCCATATGTCCCCATTCCAAGTTTCAGGATCCCCTTTCTTTCCAATCAGTGCTCTCACTTTAACTTCAGACATCATTCAAGTTTGGCAATTCAACTGGCATTGTAATTCAGCCACTCTTACAAGACTCTGGGTTTAGTTTTCAGCAATATCAGCTCTGTTACTACAAGAAATAAGGCTTTCTTTCAAGGCAGAAGCGGAAACTTTGAAGTTGTTTATACAGTGCTTGAGCTTTGACTCTGAAGTCCTGAGCTCATCTCTTTCTTTCACCACTTTGTCTAGCAAAAGTAGGACAAACCAACCAGCTTCCTTATACTTCTAATTATGACAAAATTGTAGAAAGGAAAAAAATTCTGTATGGGAGACTAACTTGAAATGTAAACTTAATTTAATTACAACAATTAAAAAAAAATTGTAGAAAGGTATGAAACATGATCACCCAGAGCCTCGCCTCTCGCCAATATCTGATCTATTGCTGGTGATATTTTGCATATTTCTATTGTCACCCCACGCCATGGATTAGCAGTGCCCTCTTTACTGTTGGAAGCAGAGTCACCAACATCTTTAAGACTAACCAGATTTGAGAACCAATTTAGAAAACTCATTGTTACAATTTTGTTCCTCTAGAACCACTCTTCGTATCAAATGTCTTAGGCTGGGTTCTCTAGAGAAACAAAATTAGTGAAGCATATAAACAGATATAGAGGGAGATTTATATCAAGGAAATGGCTCACGCAGTTGTAGAGGCTGAAAAAGTCCCAAGTCCATGGGTCAGGCTGGAAGTTTCTCCTGACTCACATAGCTGCAGGAGCTGGCAAACCCAAGATCAGCAGGTAAGATGGCAGGCTGCTGTCTCACAGGCTGTGGAGGTTGACGAATCCCATGATTGGCAACTAAGCTGCCAGCTCAGGTCCCAAGAACCGGAGGTCAGATGAACAGGAGCCAGCTGTAAGATCCAAAGTGAGCAAAAGCCCGAGAGCCTTGCCAGAAAGTCCACCTACATTGGATCAAGAGTACACCCCCAAGGAACCTCCCTTTCAACTGATTGGCTACTCACAGCAGATCCCGTTATGGAGGTGATCACATTATATCAGATCTAATCATTATATGACTACCAAACTATAACAAAACTGCCAAACCACTGAGAATCATGGCCCAGCCAAGTTGACATACAACCTTAATAATCACAAGGGCTTTGGACCATAGTCCTGGGATGCAACTCAGTCAACTGGCATAACGGCTTATGAAGATAATGTTCTACATTCTAGTTTAGTGAGTAGTGTCTGAGGTCTTAAAAGCTTGCGAGTGGCTATCTAAGATGCAACTATTGGTCTCTACATGTCTGGAGCAAAAGAGAAAGAAGGAAACCAAAGACTCAAAGAAGAAACTAGTCTACAGGACTAGTAATCTACATGAACCATGGCATCACCTACCTTGACACCAGAACTAGATGGTGCCTGGCTACCACTACCCACTGTTTTCACAGGGGACACAATAGATGGTCCCACATAGAATGGGAAAAAATACAGAACAAAACTCAAATCCCTAACAAAAGGCCAGACTCACTGAACCGGTAGAGACTAGAGGCATCCCCAAGACCACTGCCCTGGGATACCCTTTAAGCTTGGAAGTCAAACTATTCCCAGAGGTCACCTATCTGCCAAAAGACAGAATGGTTCATAAAATAAATAATATCACCCATGAGTCCTGCACTTCTCTAAACAATTTATCTAAATGAGGCCTAAACGTCAACATTTACCCTAGATCAAAGATGAGAAGGGGAAACTAGGAAGCTAGATTAATGGAAACAGAATAACCAGAATATAAATAATGAGAATGCAGACACACTGTGAAAAGCATAACCAACGTCACTGAATATGTATAGAAATTGTTAAATGAGAACTTAAGTTGTTCTGTAAAATTTCTCCAAAATCATAGTATTTAAAAAAAAAATTGAATAATCTTTTCCCTGCCAATTTAAAATAACACCTTTATCATATACATGCTAAATCCCCACGTGATTCGGGTCTCTTTCTGAACTCTGTATTCTGATGGATCGTGCCAGTCCTGTGCCAGAACGAGCACACTGTGGTTTTATGTCAGTCAGTGGCTGTGACCTTTGGAAGACCTTTGGAAGTAGACTGCCAGGCCTTTCTTCTGTGGCATCTCTGTAAAAGGGGCTGTGTGGAAATGTCACATTTATTGTTTATTGCCAACAGTATAGGCCTAGCTTCCTGGGTATTGTGATATTGTTAATGCCTAGCTTGCAAAGTTCACTTTTGCATGCTCCTGTGATTTTGTTTTCCTCTTATCCCCCCCTTGCTTTTCCATGACTTTGAAGTTTAACTAAGTTTCTCTTTGAGAGGTAGAACGACCTTGGAGGGTAGAGTAACTCATCTGTGAAGTGATAATAACGGGGCAAGATGACCTTCAAGGATTGCCAGGTGCAGAATGTAACCACCGGAAAAGAAACCAATGTTGTCCATATAAAAACTTTCAGCGCGTCTCCAAGGGGGGGAGACAGGTCTTTTGGAGGAGCTCATTCCCCTCTGTCTCGTGTATATCAATATACAATAAAACACTCCCGCTGCTCGCCTCACCCGTCTCAGTATTGGCTTCTGCGGCAGGCAGCTCAGACCTGCCATTGCTGTAACATCTGGAGGAATTTGAACCGGCAATCTATTGGTTAGTATCAGAGTGCTTAACCATCTGGGAAACCCAGAGACTGTTAATTGTTCATAACACAATGATTAAATAACTTATCTTTTCCCAGCTTTTAAAATACCTCCTTTATCATATACATGCTAAATTCCCATGTGATTGGGTCTCTTTACTGTCTTTATTCTGATACATTGTGCCAGTCCTGTGCCAGTACCAGCACTCTGCGATTTTATTTCATGTTTTAGTATTTTTAGTATTAAGAGATCTCCCCATTATTCTTCTGTTTCAGAATGCTCTGCCTTTTCTCATTATCATTCTAGACAAACTTTCAAATTATTTTCCCAAGTTTCTCAAACAATCACTTGGGGATTTAGAAACTGCCTTGAGTTTACGGATTTAGGGAAAACTGACATCTTTTATATTATCGTGTCTTCCTATCCAAGAACAAGTTATTACTCTTTGCTTATTCAAGTCTTCCTGTTTTAAGTAGCTTGAAAGGAGTTTAGTTTTATTGACTGATTGAAAATAGCTCCTGTACATTTATTTAATTTTAGATATTTTATAAATTTTGTTGCTCTTATGAATGGGATAATTCCTTCCGTTAATTTTCTAACTAGTTATATAAAAGCTATTGCTCATTTATATTTTATAAGCAATCCCCTTTCTTATCTTTATCCATACTCTCCCTTACAGAGCTCAAGGTCATATGTTCAAGTACCATTGCTATGTTGATGACTACCAATGTCCACATCTTGTCCTCTCTCCCAAACTATCATCATTTTACCTCTACCTTGGTGTTTCCTAAATTTCAAAAATTGTCATACTGCTGTCATAATTTTTCATATCTGTATACCAATTCATTAAAATAAATTTGGCTTCATCCTGAGCAATAGTATCCATGAAATAACAAGTTTGATTGCTGGTTATAATTTTTTTCTAATATGCATGAAAATAAATACATAACTATTTAAGTTTTAAAAAATGTTTTTCATACCACTGATCATCTCTTGTACCACCCACCATTTTCTGAAACTCTATTCTAGCCTGGTGGCGTAGTGGTTAAATGCTACAGCTGCCAACCGAAAGGTCGACCGTTGGAATCCACCAGGCGCTCCTTGGAAACTCTATGGGGCAGATCTATAGGGTCACTATGAGTCAGAATCGACTCGACAGCAACGGGTTTGGGTTTTTTTGGTTTATTCTAGCTGGTAACAGACCTGAATATTCACCATTGCTTCAAATTCAGTGTTCTTCCTTCACTGTCAATTCACTTTCTTTGCTCTGTCAAAGGGACACCATTTCCCCAGTCACGTGGGCTCCCTTTATCCTCATCCTGATGATGTTTTCCTAAAACACTGTCCCTTGCCCTCCATTCTCCCACACACCCTCCCTATTCTCATCCCTGTTCGCCTCCCAGCAGGATTCCTCTGGATTCCTTCCTGAAGACCAGCATTCTCCTTTGAGGCTGAGCCTTCGGAACCAGCCTCATCATGTCCCGTCTTGTTCATCAACTTGTGATGACTCTTTACTGCCCTCTGCATTATTGAAACATACTTCCCTTCTTCCCCATCTCCTAGTGTTCGGAAGTCAATCGTGTGGCCTTGGGGCTTTCCCTCTCCCCATCTGCTCATCCAAACCTTACCTATCCTTTTAGGCTCACTTTCCAGGAAGCCTTCTTTGATGATTCCAGCCCTCTCTCCCTCTCTTATTCCTGCAGTATTGTTTGTTGTCTTGGGTGTCGCCTCTCCCTGAGTAGGCTACAAGCTGCTTGAAGGCTGGCTTCACATTTGAATATTGGGCACACATTAGATACCCAATAAACACTTGTTGATTCACTGCCTGATAGCATTCCCAAAAACTTACCTCAAATGCCACTGCTCCCTGTTCCTTGCCACAGCCACTCACCCCTCCCTGCACAACCTTCAACTCCCACCAACCAAGGGCAAGATGGAAAAAGAAACAAGTTTAAGACAAACAGAAAACACTGAAATGTAAGAAGCCAATTCTAGGATCATTAGTCTTTTAATATATTATTCTGAAAAGAAAGGAATTAAAAAAAAGTTCCTGACATCTCTTTTTTTTTTAAATTTAAATAAATACCCTGCCCACCCCCCACCCACTGAAATTTCCCTCCTTCCCCATCATCCCGCCCATCCCTGGTACTAGACCCCGGAGCTAAATAAGATGCCTGTTTCGAGCAGGCCACAGCTCACTACCAAATTCTGGCACACTGTAAATACCGTAAATGAGTCTGCTGCCGTCAGCTCACTTGAGCCCCTGCTTTCATCCAACTCCACTCCCCAGGCCTGATGGCTCCCTAGCTTTGCGGTGGACGTGGATCATGGGGCCTTTAGGCATGGGGGAGAGTGCAAACTTGGATCCCTTTAACTACCTCAGTGCCCCAGTCCCTGCTCGGGAGTAGGTAAGAAGGACCCAGAATTGTCCTCCAAAACTAAAATAAATAACAAAATAAATACCCCTTCCCCATTCCCGACTCAAAGAGATCCACTACCTCTCACTCTCTACTCCCTTTCGTTTGACTCTACCCCCTTCTTCCTCCCTAGCCCCTCCCTCCTTCCCGCTTGCTGGGACTCTAGCTTGGCCTTTGCCCTCTCAGGAGGTGGGGTCTATCGCGCTCAGTGGGGAGCGCTGCGGAGGGCCTCACTACTAACCTCAAGCAAACCTTTCTCCTCCCCCAGGTTTGCTGCTGGCGCCCCAAGCCCAATGGCGCTGGCAGACTCCCCGTCTCTGGGGGTTAGGGTGGAGGGCGGGGGGGGGTCTCCCTGGCTCTCTCTTTCCTAGTCCTTCAAGTGTCTTTCTTTCAAGGCAAGTCTCCCAGGGGAGACTGGGCATGGCCCGCCCCACTCCCCAGTCCAGGTGCCCGCCCCGCCCTCCTCAGATGGCAGTGTCCCAGAGGACAGTGTGCTGCCGGCGACAGGGCGGGGTGCCGGATTTGCGGGGCTCGGGCCCCCGCCGCCAGCTGGGGAGGATGGGCATGCTCTCCTGCTTGCACAGGCCTCGGTCCGGCCGGTGCCGCGCCTTGATCTCCTTGCAGACGCAGCGCTTCCGCTCAATCACTTCCAGCAGCTTGCCGTCCCGCTCGCGGGCAGGCTGGGGGGGCAGGGGAAGCGGCAGCGGCAGTGCAGGGGGGGTCTGTGCCCCTTCCTCCCCGCCACCGACCACAGGCGGGGGGAGAAAGGAAAAGGGGGGTCAAGGACCTCGGAGTGACAAGCCCTTCCCCACTGTCATCTTCCAGGAACAACTCCCCTTCCCCGGCTGTGAGAGTGAACTGGGGCTGAAATCCAGCCTCAGCCTGCTCGGCCGAGCCTGTGCCTGTGTCGCCCTGAGGAGGGGCGCCTTCTGAAAATATTCTTCTCAGAGCGGATGCATTTTCCCAATCCGTCTACCCAGAGAGGGCGCCTTTTCCCAAATCGCACAAAGGCGCACAAGCAAGCAGCCGCCCTGACTGATCTCCAACCCGGACCCTGCCTCGCTGCCCCTCTTAAGCAGCCCTTTCCCGGGACCTTCCCTCGGACACCCTCACCCTCCGACCTCATTAGTCATGGTCCATGCCGGCTCAGGCCCCAGTTGGACCTCTTGCTGCCCTTCCTTCTTCCCTGCCTGTTCCTTCCCAAATAAAAGAAAAATCAAGCCTTCTCCTCTTCCTCCTCACCTGGCTCGGGGCATCCCTGGGCTGGCTGCAGGGCCGGGGTGTATGGAGCGCGGCCTGCCGGACTCCAGAGGTGGAGGCGGAGCGCCCCAGGCGGTAGCCTCCTGTGAAGTCTGAGGCGAGAAGGAAGAGTGAGAAGGGAAGGGGCTCCAGGTTCCCCCTCCCCCAGCTCCCTGAGGAGAGAGCCCCGCCCAAGCGGGGCCCCACCTCATTAGAGGAGGAAAGGAACGGAGCTAGGTGTTAAGATTCAGGGCCTGGGACATGCTCTTATACAGAGGATATAATAAGTTCAGTGACTGGACCCTGGGTGATCCTCCCAAGCCAGACCCATCTGGGTATGTGTATCTTCAGACAGGGTGTCACCTCCATTGCGGTGGCAGGCGGGGAAGGTCTGGCAGGGTATGGGCAGCGCTGTTCGGCTCCCTCCTCGGTCCCCTCCATGGTGGATCCTGGCCAGCAGGCCCTCTGCCCCCTGGCTCCTCACTGGGATCCCTGATGCCACAGGGCCCCTGTCCTCATGCTCCACCTTGCCTGGACCCTCGGCACTGCCATTCCAGGCCCGGGGACCCTCCTCGGCTTCTGCTGGGATGACAAAGAGAACTAAACACCTGTATATGGAAGGGATCCAGCTATGCCCCCAACCACACATACTACAGCACAGGTGGACCAGAATGACCTGCCCCTTTGCAAGCCACAGAATGGATGGGTGGGACCCTACTGCACAATCCTCAACACACACACACACACACACACACACACACACGAGGGGCCTGGTATTGCCTTCTTTTCCACCCATTGGTACCATTCCCGCAAGGCTGAGTGTCACATATATTTGCTGCTTCTAAACCGTTTTTCCTGGTCAGAAGAGTCTCTCCTGTCCCAGCCTTAGCTTGAGAGCCGCTGCAGCCCCAGACAGGACTAGAATGATCACCCCCCTGAAACTGAGACCAGAAGCGCTATTCCTCAGGAGGGGGAGAAGCCCAAATCCTGGGCCGCAGTGGGGTAGTGGGGGGTGGGGGGGTACTGGGGGAAGAGTTGCCTGTGAACTAAGATCATCTCTGAGAGCAGGCCTGGCAGAGCATTGCGTTGCCAGGCAACGGTAGGGGCCTGCCGCTCCTCTCCCTCCTGTCTGGATGGGTTGTCATGGTAACTGCTGGGAGGCAGCTGTGTTTGGCTCCTAGTGTGCGCACACTCACAAACACACCCCTGCAGCCCAGGGAAGGGAGGGGCAGGGAGTAGAGCAGGACAGTCAGGAGGACACTGCCCCCACCCCATGCCACCAGACCTACTGCCCACCCTCATTCCTTTAGTTCCCTGGAAAACTTCCCCATTCAGGACAATAGGCATGTGGCTTCCAAATGACTCTGCCAACAACTCCCCTAAACCATCACCAACACCCCTCTAACTGACCTCCCAGCTCCCCGCCCCCATTCACCACCCCTCACTCACTGTCCAGTTCCTTTGCCTTCCTCCCGCCATACAGGACCTTCCTCTGCAGAGCCCAGCTTGCCCCGAATGTCGTGGCACCCATCTCCTCCTCTTCTTCCTCTGGTGTCCCTGCACTGGTGATGACGTGGGCACAGGAGATGCTGGCAAAGGCACCCCCATCAGCCCCTTGCTCCTGCAGCTGGATCTTGACCATGGGGGATGGGGCCCCCACTCCACAGCCCTTATTCAGCAGCCCCCCAGCCTTGAGGCTCTCATAGGCAGGGGGTCTCTTGAACCCAGCTGCTGCAGCTGGGTAGGTCCAGAGAGGGGTCAGGGGGCCTGCAGTTGGGTCCGGAAGGCTGTGGGGAGAGGCCAGGCAACCTCGGTGGTGGAGGACCCCAGCTGCTGCCCCCATGGCCCCACTGTGGGGGCTGGACTTCCCCGGCACGGGAGGCCTCGAGCTGGTGCACAGCATCCCATGGAGAACTGCGATCTCCTTCTCTGTCTTTGGTTCCCCAGCACCCAGGGGTGGACCCGCTGGCAGGACGGAGTGTGTGGTCACCTTGACTGCCGAGTACACCATAGTGTAAGACACGGCCTTGTCCTTGGGGGGCCCGGGGAGCAAGGCGGCTGGGGCAGGGGGGGCTGCCGGCAGCCCTGCCGCCTTGGGGCAGATCATGCTGTGGGAGTTGGGGAGCTCCCGCTCGCCCCGGGGCTGGCCAGAGCCCTGGGGTGGCAACGGTGTCGAGTGGCTCCGGGCCCTGCCCGATGGTCCCAGCAGCAGCAGGTTGGCAGCAGGAGGCAGAGGCGGTGGGGGAGGCGTCTCCCGCTCCCGCTCCCGCTCCCGTGCAGGCACTTGGGGAGCTGGGGTGGAGCCAGCTGGCTCCTTGGAGTGGCAGAGGACCGGTAGCCTTGAGACCCCATCGCCAGGGGTTCGGGAAGCAGACTTGGCTTGGGGGAAGGCCAGGAGTGGAGGGCGGTGCTGAAGGAGGTTGGGGAAAGGGGGGGGGATTTCACAAGGGGTAGTCTTGGTGGGCATCCCATCCCTCCGGCTCGGGAGGGCTGAAGCTGGACGGCGGTGGGTATGGGGCTGAGGGACATGAGGTTGGTGTGGTGGGGAGGTTGCTGTCAGTGGGGGGGCCCCACTGGCCCGGCCTTCCCCTGCCTCCTCGGGCAGTGGGTATTTCATCTCCTCATATATGGCCTCACTCTCTTCAGAGTCTGAGTCGGGGCCAGCTGGAGGGGTTGGGCCCCCACCACCAAGAGGGGGCCCAGTCAGACACCCTCCACTTCTTCCTCCTCCCCTGAAGACATCCCCCACCATCTCAATGTACACGGGCTCTTCTTCCTGGGCACCCACATCAAGGTCCCCAGTTACATGTGACCCCCTACTGAGGTGCTGGAAGGGTGGGTTCCCTCCTCGAGGAGAAGGGGCTGGGGGGCAGGACTCGTAGAAGGAGACAGAGAGCTGGGTGTTGGGACTTCGCCTGGGCTTTTGTGGAGGAACTTTCCGGCTAGATTCTCGGCTCTCTAGGGTTGGCTTCTGTGAGCCTAGGCAGGATAGAAAAGAGGAAATAAACAGAGTTTTTAGTAGGGGAAAGAAATGGGGGGACTCTTTCTGACCTCTTGACCCATCTGTAAACACGTATCTGTCTTTTCATTTTTCCTCACTCCTGAACTTACAACCCTTGTAGGTTTCTTTTCTACCAATCAGCCCTCCATCCTTCTAAGGAACTCCCCAGAATCTACAACTCTTACCCTAAATTCTCTCCCAACCTCATGTCCCTCCAAGGCCACCCCTCTCCCAAGAACAGACTTTTCATGGAGTTCTCCCTGCCCTTGAATGGTTCATCTCAGGCCTACCCTCGGAAAATGGAATCTTCCACTTCCTTGGTTCTTCCCTGAATGAACCCTCCCTGGCAGGCCTCCCCTGGCCTGGAATGGATCCTCCCAGTTCCCAGCTCTACCTGAGAAGAAGAGTGGGGTGGCTCACCTGCTTTCTTGCTGGGGGGCATCTCTGCCACCGACCCCGCCATGCTGAGCTTGGTGCTGGGGTGTCTCCGGGGCTTGGCTGGAGGTCTTCGGGCACTGCCGTCCTCTGTGAGATCCCCACTGCCATCCCCAGGCCCACCCACTACACTGTCCATACTGCCCACAGAGTGGCAGGAGAGCGAACGTGGGGCCATGGCGCTGCGACAGGGGTGGGGGGTGTGCTCCTGGGAGGCGGGCATCGTCATGAAGCCCATCCTGAGGGAGCGGCGCAGCGAGGCGATGTCCCGCGCGTGGACTCCGGGCCCTGGGCCAGTCCCGGGCCCTGCTGGGCCTGCAGGACTCACCTCCTTACTGGAGCTGGGGAGAAAAGACACAAGATGGAGCAGATGTCGGGCCTCAGACTTCGGCCTCCCCTTCCTCTACCCTAATAGGTGTTTGCGACCCTGTGGCCTCCCAGGGAGGAGGACAGGAGCCTCAGGTGGGGATAAGGGGAAGCTCGAAGGTCCAAGGCACAGATGTAAGGGGCTTCAGGCTGAATCCCTAGGCTTTAAAAAAGGCGAAGAAATCGGGGCAGCGATGAGAGAAGTGGTATCTGTGCAGAGGTGCGTCCCTGGGGCTGGCAGATCCCATGCCGCGCATATCCAGTACACTGCACACGTATAGGTAGAGACATGCAAGCCCGGGCAACACAGCCCCTCTAGACAGACGGCCGCACCTGCTACGACAGCTCCGCTACTCTGCTCACGCTCACACTGGCCCACACCTGGCCTCCGGTCTCCCCTCACGTCCAGCTGCTGTGGCCGACGCCCCCACACTGCTCCTCCTCTCCCAGACATTTGTACTGCGGCTGCATCGCCATAGCAGCCTCCCCCCCAGCTGATCCTTGTTCCTCCCTTTGTCCCTCTCCCTGGTGCTGCTGTCCTCTATGAGACTCCCACTGTTGCCCCCAGATCTGCCCCCTCTCTCCCTGCTGTACATGCTGCCCACTGAGTGCTGTCCTCGCTCTGTCACCCTCCCTGACTCACCCCCCATTCCCTTTCACTGTCCCTGAGCTGCTATGTAAGTGAAGGGGGGCGGCTGGCAGGGAAGAGGGGAAAACTACTGTGGGGTGGGCTCTCATTAAGGCCCTGTCTACTAACCCTTCATTAGGGAGAGACAGCTGCAGTGATAGCTCTGATTAATCTAATTAACAACAAGAATTAAACTCCACAGTTTTGAGAAGAAGGAAGCAAGAATGTGGCTCTGACTCAGGCTCCAAGAGGCTGTGCAGTCAATGGGAGTGAGGAGAAGGGAGTGAGACGGAGAGGCCAGACCCCAGGTCCCTGGGAGGGCAAGGAGAGAGGGCAGCTGGAGGTGGGGGCGGGGGGGTTGCTCCCCAGCCCTAGCTCATCTGCACGGCCCAGCCTGCATGTCCCCCCCAACAGATAACCCTGACACTTGGCCACTCACCTACCCCAGCAGAGGAGACTGGGAGGGGGCCAAATGGGTCTTCTCTGATGCCCCCTCCAAGGATCACCTCCCTGGACCCTATGAGGGCAGTAGGGCCTGTCCCTTCCAAGGTCAGGTGACAGGGGAGTCAGAAGCCAGCACCAAACTGACAGTGAGAAGACCACATGCCAGAGGTGAGTCAGGAAGGGGTGACTCGGGCCTCTGGGGAGGAGGAAGAGACAACAGGGTGCTCTTGAGCTAGAAAACCTCTGGAGGCCAGGCCAGGCACCAGAGCTGGGAACAGGACTGGGACAGGGTATGCGCCATTCCAGTACTCTGTACTGAGCACAGGACTCTACGATCAGGGAGGCCCACTGATGACAAGGCTGTTGAGACCCAGGAACATTAGAACGGCTGCAGCCCAGAAAGGGGGGAAGCTGAGGTGGGACGGGCAGGGGGAATCCAGGACCCGCAGCCTTACCTCTTCTTGGCCTCTTCTTCCTTGTGCTGCCTCCACTCCAGCTTGGTTTTTCGGTAGAGGAGGTTCATGTCGTGGGGCAGGAGGTGGGGGCTGGGGGGCCCTGCTCAGCGCCACCAGGCCCGGGGGACGGCCCTCCCTGGGTCCCGGATCCACTTGGTGGGGAGGGGAGAAAGAGAAAAGAAAGGGAGATGTGGGGTGGGTCGGGGGCCAGGAATGAATGAGAAAGAGAAAAAGGCGCAGAGAACGTGACTTGGGTCCTCAGACAGGAAAACAGACAGAAGCACAGAAAACCCAACACAGCCTCCCGGACTCACAGACAGACACTGAGCGACACCCTGACAAAGGTGTTCAGAGACACAAACATACTCCAGCGAGGTCAGGTCAACAGATTCTCATCCTGATACAGCACACGGACAGGCCGCACACACGTAGAGCAACCCCGCAGTGACAGACACATATTCAGACACACAGACCTCCGAGCCACAGACCGTATCTCCACACCGAGGACTGGCACAGGTAAACACTAACCTAGGAAGACACAGACACACACAGACACAAACACCCGCTGACACACCCACAGACACACACAGACATCCAGACACACACAAATCTGCTACACAGGACCGGACACACCTACAGACAAGGAGTTGTGCCCAGGGCCTACTTGCATACATTGCACCCCACTGGGAAGAGGGAGACAGACTCCCCAGCCCCTCTTGGACTCTGAAGCTTGGGGGGAGGTGATGAAGGCAGGGTGGGGATACTGAAGGAAGGGTAGGAGGCATTCTGGTTGGGCATCTGAAATACCATCCACCTCTATTCCCTGCTGTCCCCCCTCCAGTCCTTTGGGCCTGGGCCTCCGTCCACCCCTATTCCGGCAGCTCCCTGGCCCCTCAGCAATGGTCTCCGCCTCACAGATGGCCCAAATCACCTTCTTCCTCCTCCAGGATTTGGGAGGCTCCCGGTTTCCCTCTTCCAGTCCCGCCCCTCAGTCCCACCCAGGGGGTCTCCAGCCTGGCCCCAGAGCTACCCTCTGAGCTGCGGCCTCCATACCTACTCTGGCCTCCCTTCCCCCAAACACACACTCTCCTTTTCGTCTTCAGCCTCACTTCTCTCCCAGGCGCCCCTCCTCACTGCCGTCCTCCCCCTTCCCCTGTTTATTCCAAACCTGGCCTGCTTCATCCACCTCTCCATCCTAGGGCCTCAGGTTCCCGGGCACCCCTCCCCTTCCCCTTGTCCTGCTACCCTGGGTTTCTCCGCCTCTCGCCCCGTCAATCCTCCCTGCCCCTTGTCCCCCCACCCCACCTCCCCGCTCCAAGCCTCCCCAATTTCTACATCACCGTACCTGGCCTGCCGGGCGCCGGCCCCCCCATGCCGGGCTCCGCCCGGAGCAGGAGGAGGGAGGAGGAGAGACAGAGTGAGACCGGGGGGAGCCGAGCTGGGCCCTGCCGCAGAGACAGCCCCGCCTCCGGGTCCGCCCCCAGACCCGCCCCCGGCCCCAAACCCACCCTTCCACACCCTCCAAGGACAGAGTAGGAGCGGCTGCGCGGCGTTGGGCTGCGCGGCGTTGGGCTGCGCTGCGCCGCTAGGCTGGGGTGGGCGGTGCGGGGGCCGCGGAGCCCGCGGGAGGAGGTTCGGCGGACCGTCCTGGAGCGCGAGGGGCCGGGCGCCAACCCGCCCCCGCCTCGGGGAGTCCGCTTCTCGCTTCTCCTCGCCCCCTGTCCGCGCTTGCCTCGTCTCCTAGGCCCTGGCGGAGCAGAGCACGGCGCGCAGCGGCGCCCCCCAGCGGCAGCCCGGGACCCACACCCACGCGCATACCCAATGCGCCCGGCCCTGGCCGGGTCGGCACCCGGCGTCGGGCCGGGGCCGAGGCTGCGGCTTCGGAGCCCGGGGTGCAGTGAGGCGGTGAAGCCGGCAGGGGGTGCCGCTTTCCGGCCGAGGGGCTCGCAGAGTCGGGAGCTGTACATTCTGCGTCTCTGCCCAACAGGGGGCGTGCTCCCTTGGCCGTGTCGCCTTTTCCCTTCCGCCCCCCAGGTGCGGGAGGAGGGCGCGGGAGCTGTCTCGCTTGGGGTGGGTCTCTTCCCGCTGCAGCCTCCGAGGCTCCGGGACCTGATTTCTCCGCCTGGGCTCAAAGTCTTCCACCCGTCCTCCCCTGCAGTCCAAGTCATCAGCCCCATAACCTTTGACTCTGCCAGCGCCCTCTGCCAGCACCTGAGCGCGCCTGGGTCGAACCCTGACTGCGACCACCGCGGCCATGGCCCGGGTGCGGTTGCGGCGGCCGCTGAGGGTCGCGACTTCGGGCCGCTCCTCTTCAGTCACCTTTCTAGTCAGCTCCCTGAGAAAGTCCTTGCTGGGAAATCCCTTTGGCGCAGTGCTCTTCTTCGGGTAAATTAACTGCAAGAAGATTTCGGTTCTTCCGTTAACTGGCTATGTGACCTTGGGCAAATCGCGCAACCTCTCTGAGGTGTTTTATCTGCTGCCTACGTTAATAGAGTTTGGGATGGGGTGGGGGTGGGGTCATTAAAATAATCGCTGTAAAAGGGCTTCACACTTTAAGGGCTATTGTAAATGCCCCCAGGAGAGGTAGCACGTTCAAGTGTTCTCAGTCCTTTCCCATTTACACCTTAGTGTGAGTGAATTTATATTTATTCATTCAACAAACTTTTCAGCAGAGACCTACTGTGTGCCAGGGACTGTAAGTCCAAGAAGAGTCTGAGAAGCTGAGTGCCTGCGGGGATGGGAAGGGGTTGGTGCCCAGAGCTGGAGGGGAGAGTCCAAAGATAAGTTTTAAGTAATTTCTAGTGTGTCAGTCATGAAAGAGGAGGGGCTGGGAACAGAGCAGGCAGGTCTGTGTTCTGAATGTTACCAGAGAGGAAAGAGTTGGGGAGACAGAGGTGGGGACTTGGGGGGGGGCGGGGCATGTGGGAGGCTGCTTCCAGGACTTCACACTTAGGCCTCATGACCTGGCTAAAGATGGTAGCCATTGTTACCATGGCTAAAGGAAAAGAGGCAGGGGTCTAGATGCATTTTAACCAACAAATAAAGAATAAATATATAAACTAGGGTTGTATTTTATTTTTTGCCCAGTCCTAAAGAGTGGTTAAGGACCCCTGGTGGCACAGTGGTTAAAGCAACAGACTGCTAACTGAAAGGTTGACAGTTCAAAACCACCAGCTGCTTCTCAGGAGAAAGATGTGGCAGTCTGCTTTCTGTAGAGATTTACAACCATGGAAAACCCTATGCAGTAGCTATGAGTCGGAATCAACTCAATGGCAGTGGGTTTTTTGCTTTGAAAGAGTGGTTCGAAATTTCCTTGAGATAAAGCTGAGGGAGGAGGGATGTGGGAAAGAAAGGGATGGTGGGAAGAGCCGTGGACTGGGAGTCAGAAAGCCTGTCTTAGTCACCTGTCTCTGAGCCTCAGTTTTCTGGAGCTCAAAATCCCCCGTCTCCTCCCAGGGCTGTTTTGAAAATCCCAAGGAGATAATTATGCAAAGTGGACAAATGTGAGGAATTTTTAATGTACTTGAGACCAGTTTCCTTGGATGGAAGTGTATTAGAATCCATTTCCTCCTGAACCTGGAAGTGAAGGTAGATGTAGCCATTGGAGACCGCTTTGGTTAAAATAATCTCTCTCAGAATGTCGGTTAGGGTCGTTAAAAAAAAAAAGAGAGAGAAAGAAAACGACGGAGATTTATTCCTTCATGCCAACCACATAGTAGTTCCTTGGTAAGTGTGAGTGTATTCTCCTTCATAATAATAATAGTACTGAATGGGATAGGAGAGTGTATACATTGCCTGTCTATTTGCATTGCACATGCCGGTAGGTTGTGCCTCAAAATTCCAGGCAGCCGTAAGACTGCTAGGAATGAGACCCATAGACCCACTGGCATCAACCGTTCCATGGTTGCTATGTTTATCTGTGATCAAGCCAGACACACAAGACATTTAAACCCATAGCCGTGGAGTCGATTCCGACTCAGTGACCCTATAGGACAGAGTAGAACTGCCCCATAGGGTTTCCAAGGAGCCATTGGTGGATTCCAACTGCTGTCTTAGCAGCTGAGCTCTTAACCACTGCACCACCAGGGCTCCATTATTTATAGAAAGCAAACAGTAACAATAGAATCTCCAAGGGGAAATGCTTGCCCTTCCCCAAATTACCCACATCCATTCTTAGGTTGCTGGGCAGACACTCTGTGGTTCAGGTCAGATGCTGTTTTTATGTCACTGCTGCTTCCAGCTACCACCACGCTGCCCAAGGCTTCTGCTCTGCTGCTGGGCCTTGCCTCACCAGCAGGAAGACTCCTGCACAGATTCTCCTGAGCCTCTGCCACTGGCTTCTGCCATGCTACCCAGGCCTGCGCTGTCTGAGGTCCCACGTGGCTACTGCCACACTGCCCAAGGGGGGAAGTGTGTGTAACCCTTGTACAGGGCACACTCAGGCCTCTCTTGCCCTGCACAAGCAAGTGTTACAGTTCTTTTAGCTCCCCCGGCAAGCCTCCTGCCCAAGGGCACTCAGCTCTCACTCAGTGGGCCAGCAAGCTTACTGCCTGTCTCTCGCTGTCTTCAGTGTTACTGTTCTTTCTTCTGGGTCTAGGAGGTTCTCAGTGCAAGGACCCTGGGTCCTTGGTCCAAAGGCTATGCTCCGCTCCAGATTCTTCTTGAAACTCTGTGGGATTGGCCCTTACATAAGCCTAAACTAGAAACCAAACCCATTGCTGTCGAGTGGATTCCAACTCATAGCAACCTTACAGGACAGAGTAGAACTGCCCCATATGGTTTCCGAGGCTGTAAACCTTTGTGGAAGCAGACTGCTACATCTTTCTCCCACAGGGTGGCTGGTGGGTTGAAACCTCTGAACTTTCAGTTAGAAGCCTAGGCAGCCAGGGCTCCCTTTATATGAGCCTACTCATCAGGTTCAAGGCTCAGCCCTTCCACCAGGACCACAAACTGACCAATCACCTCAGCAGACCACAAATCACTCAGTTTGCATAGTCCCAGCCAATCATTCTGTGGAATTTACAAAACCATGCCTAGGAAGGCCATATAAAAGCCATTCTTTGCACCCCAGAGAGGTAGGAAGGATTAGAGGTAGGGGAGGGAGTCTATGCTTCTGACCAGCCAGCGGTGCATCTGTGTGGGTGGCATCTGTGTGGGTGGCTGTGTGTATAAACGTGTGTCCAGCAGTTGGAGAGGAAGCGCAAGTCAGCACTTGCGTCTGTGTGTCTGTGCATGTTTCTGTATTTGGGGGCCAGCCAAGGACACACGTGAGTATGTGGTGTCCCTGCTCTACCACTGCCAGCCTTTCTGAACCACCTGGGGCTTAATTTTCACATCTAAGGGGAATATATGATGTCTGGCATTTGATTTTAAATAGTCCAGCCGATACAACTAAAGATACTGGGAGGGTAGAGATGAAACAAAATTGGCTGTGAGTTGATAATTGTTTAAACTAGAATGATGGGAGTTCATTAAACTATTCTCTACTTTTGTACATGTTTGCAGTTTTTCCATAAAACACTTTTTAAAATAAGGGATGGGGGGATTAATAGTACCTTCCTCATACAGTTACCGTGAACGCCAAAAAAGTTATGATTAATAAAGCCACAGCGGCATCGTAAGTTTTACTAGGCACTTATGGGGTACCAGGCACCCAATACAGCGCCTGGTATGTTCCTTCTGACTATTCCGTGTGTCTGTGGGCCAGTGGCCGCGTTTGCCTGCAAGTCAGGGAATCCCTTGCCTCCCTGCAAACTCCTCCCCTTTCTCTCCGCCCTCCACGGCCCCTCCCTCCGAGGAAGAGCTGGGCTTGGGCCCAGCAGGTGTGGGGTTAAGGGATCCTATTCGGGGCCCCAGGATCAGCAGCAGCAACTGCAATAGCCCTGGCGGCAGTGGCAGGCCTGGCCCCGGGCCAGGTGGCCGGGAGCCCCAGGAGGGAGGGAGGAAGGGAGGAGGAAGAGGGGAAGGAGGAGGAGGAGGAGAGGAGCAGTCAGCAGGCCCGAGGAGGCAGGACTTCCTGGTGTGGGGGTTGTCAACAGCCCAGAAAGACAGAGACCTAGAGCGAGAGGAGCTGAGGAGCAGACACAGAACCAGCGTTGCCACGCGGGAGGAGACTTGGGCCACCCACTCGCCGAGACCACCGAAGCCGACTGCCCCACGGGGAGGCTTTCCATCTGGAGGAGCGGCGGGCGAGCCGCCCCCTCCCACATTCGTTGGGAGAGCCTTGGGGCTTCATAGGCTGCGCCTAGGCTCCACCGTGGAGGTTCCTGCTTTTCTGGAGAGCAAACTTTCCTCGGAGATGCCTTGTAGCGTGAGATGCGTCCCCCGAAGAGGACTGGGCAGCCTCTGATCGCCGCCTGCTCCCTGCGCTGCCGGGGCCAGAGGCCCCAGGGGAAGAACAGCCCGACATTTTAGGCGC